AGAAGGTAAAACGGTTTGTTGAAATCTTTGTTTGAAAGTTGCTAAAATCATGATTTTTACAAAATATTGTGGCTCTCGGATGTAACAACTGGATGTCAACTATGCCCGCCCCAATCAGGCTAATTTCCCCTGGGCGAATTTCTCTCTGCTAAAAAAAGTTGAAAAGAGATTGCTTTTTATTTTTAGTCACATAGAAAAAGACTCACAGGGGAGACTATTAACGACAATGTTTGACAAATCTTTCTCGATGAAGATCGGCCAAATTAGTGCAATTTCCCGCTGAGGTTACCCTGAACGTGTTCACATAACCTGTGACTTAAAATCAACAAAACCAAGCACCCTATCTTAAAAAGGCAAATAATTGATTCACCATAAGCAAAAATTGTTTGAAATAAGACCGCATTATATCCGTGAAGAGTTGTAAACCAGACAATCAAAGCTCTTGAAAGAATTGTTTTCTAAGTACCATTTTTTAAGTTGAAAATGCGGCTCTCGGAAAGAAAGATTTATTTACGCACGAATAATCTTCAGTCAAAAAGCTAGCCGTTTTCAGTTAGCACGCATATTAACCTGCAATTTCAGGCATAGTGGTGTAGATCCGGGAAATTGCGATAAAATTGCTCGTGATAACACTTTGTAAATCCCTCAGATGAAGAGATATGGTCAAGAAAAATGACCGTAAAGAGAAAGAAAAATTAAAAAGCTGTATATACAATGAGTAGTTTATAAATCTGTATCTTGTTTTAATTTATTGTTTTTAATTTTGCGGTGAATAGACCATAGTACAAACGCGAGAGATTGTAAAAATGGACAGTCCAATAGAATACAATTGAATTACAAGAAAAAAGTGAAAACTAAACTGATTTTCAAGCAAATATAGGTCCCCTGCTGTGAGTGAGTTGCAACTAGGTTCTCTCTTTAACACAGGTGTTTGAAAGTGGTGGATTCAAGAAAAGATCCTTATTAAATATTCATGTCTCTTCTCTTTCACTTGTTTGGCATATCACAGGTTAAATCTTCTGGTGATAAAGGAAGAGTTAAATTAACCCAGCGAAATAGGATTCCACCCGTTACGACATGTGCTTAAGAATAAGAGAGATGACTAACAACTCGCAGGAAAAATTCAACTGGATGACAAGCACGTGTGTCCTCACTTACACCGCTAAATAAATACGGTGACGACCAATATGAGAACGGCGCTTTCATTAAAAATAGGCAACGAAGCATGAAACCTCTCAACAATGAAAAAAGCGAATCGAAACAAAAAATTTTACTCCTTTAACTGAATTCTCTGACGCCTTAGAATTTTTTAAATAAAATTTTCATTGTAAAAGGCTATGGTTTGAAGGCGCGCTTTGTGTGAAAAATAAAGTCTTTCCTAGCTATGGGATTTCCTGGCCGTTGATGGCAAAAATTAAATCGCATGAAAAGGAAGTGAAACAAATGAATTTCTGTAACCTAAAAAAGCCTGAAGTAGAGGACAAATAAAAACATTTATGTTTATTTTTAGGGTCGAAGTATTTATTTGAAAGTGAAATTTTTGTTTGAGATTATTGTCCGACGATTTGGCTTAAATCAGAGGTGTGGATTAAGCTCTGAAGTTTTGCCATTTATTTTGCACTTAAATAGGTCGCTATTGTCTTCAGTGTCTTTGTATTATTATAGGCATACGGAACGGCTGAGACAACATCATATAGTCAATGCCATTAGAACTAACTAATTTTGTTTTTAATCCAAAAAGCGATCATTTTTGTTTTAAATAGCAACTTTTTTCAGTTTAGGCTGGCGAGGAGTCAGTAAAGTTAACGCACGTTTAGATCTTTTTATAGGCACAGCCCGGGTGGCAACGGTGCGATTAGTAGAAAAATGTTCTCTACTAAAACAAAAAAATAATAATTAACTGATTCTATTCGTACATGGCAAAGTGTATGTACATCTTGGTTTTAGAACTTGCTTTATTCATTTAGTTAACAATAACAAACAATATCATACATTTTGATTGCTTTGATTGAAGTGTTTTGAATTTTACTTTCAACACAACGTCGATTTCCTATTCGAAGTTAATTTATTAAGTACTGTACATCCCTTATACGCTTGACAATCTGACTAGTTTTTGTTTATATTATGTTACATGTACGGTAGTAGAAATCTTAGTCACGTACTTGAAATTTCAAAAGATAATTTGAATATTTCTCTAATTGTATCTTGATTCGATTAGTTTCCCAGTATGTTGGCATATTATATTTCCCCCTTTCAGGAGCCGAATTCTTCGAAACTTCTTCTTGTGATCTGATATTTCAGTGCGCAAATGAAATTATACCGGGAAGACAGTCATTTGAATTTGAAGTCCTCGGAGCAGTTGATTCAACTTGAATGTTGGTATTCTTGTTCAATAGTTTGCCAAATGTAATTCAAGTTTTTCCTTTCTACTCTCAAGTATAAGATGCAGAATTAACTGCCGGGCCAACATCACTAAGAACTGAATAACATACAAGTATAACAAATATACTAAGTCGTGCTGATTGACAATCAAAGTCGATTAATACTGTAGAATAAGATGACAAGGAAACAAAACATAACAAACGCCGGAGACATTCAATTGAATGGAACATGAGTTCAATATTTTAACAAGAAAAAAAAAACTTGACAATTTCAATCACGACTCGAATTGACTTAAAACAACCGAGCTTCTTTTAATTCATTATTGTTGCGAGCATCTGCGATTTGTCTTTTTGATATATAGTTTCACTAATTATTTCTTAACAACACCTGAAAAAATGTTTATAAGGCGGAGGATAGGTGGAAAAAGAGTGAAATAGTAGGCGGCTTTAATTCAATAAAAGCTTAGCCTGTTTCAGGCTTCGAGATGGTCTGGTGCGCTGAATTGAGAAAGCGCGAACATGAACTTTCGCGCCCTCCCCATTCTTTAGGGTCTTCCCCACTTTCTGAGAGCCTAGAACAGGCTAATAAAAGCTAGAATGCCATTTTGTTACTAAAAACGGCAAGTACAAAGTCGATTCTGAAACCAGAATTTAAAGTGTCATTTTGGGTACTATCAATAGAAAGATTCATTCATTCGGCTAGTCTTGTATTTTGACACAAAAATAAAGAAATAAAGTTAGTATGCATTCATTCATTCGTCCGTCAGTTTGTTCATTCAGTCATTCATTCATTCGTACCTCTCACGTTAAACAGCTCAAGCAGGATCCGCACTACTCAGATTGCTCAGTAGATGCCTTTGAATTTACAATGTATAACAACTGACCAAAAAAGCGCTTCCAACGAGTTTGTTTATATCCAAAGTTTTGAACCCCTTTAATGTTCCTTGTTGGGGGCAACTTGATAAAAAGCTACCGGTGACAGCCGGTAATCTATGTAATCCCCTCTGCATGGGGGCAACAGAATCCGAAATATCAGGGTCACCCAGCGACTGAAATAACTGCTCTAAGGAACAATTATTGCCTAAAAATTTCTAAGGCACGAGGCTAAAAGTTTCTTGATAGCCGTTGTATTCGTGTAAGATATTTCGTCTTTTTGTACTAATTAACTTACCTAGTACGATTTTCGGAGGTTGTGCTTTTTTACATTTTATCACCAAGATATTGCGTTTATTGCCGAGCCTCCTCTTTAAAATTTCGGTATTTAGACAAAGAAGTACAGCTACTCCATTTCCGTGAAATTTCGATCGCACCCATCGGCGGTAGTGGCAGTTTTGAATGAGTCAATAAAGCCACCTGGAACTTTCGAGACGACACAAGTTCCCCTAAGACATCCGAACAGATTCATAGTTTTCAGAGCAGTTCCAAATTACGCAAACAGGTTTCTAAAGCACAGTAAAAACATTCTGGGACACTTCTGGCGTATCTGAAAACATTAGGTCGTTGGGTGTCCCTGTAAAGTGAAACAGAAGGCTGAATCCGAGACTCTGAAGCGAATTTACCAGCTTGCTTCCATATGTTTACGGATATTTACGGATAAGCTAAATACAAAGTCTATTCTTTGCGCGGATATGAGAAGATACCTACTTTTTCTCGCATAATATACGTCTTTCCGTTTACTCAACCATCCGAAAGCCCGTTTTTCGTGTATAATGTGCATGTGTATTGGCGTCTGAGAAGTAAACGGTGATACAAGGCAGAAATGTTAACTAACGTTCGCCCGACACTTCCTACTTAAAATCAGAAATATTATTGGCATCCTTCTAAATTTATCCACTCTCTATTTTCCTTTATATCATGAGCAACGGGGCTACAGAGCTAACAGAGTCAAAAGAAAATTTGATTATCTGAACAAATACCTAAGTCAGTTAAAATTCAGTCCATTCTTAAGCGTGCAGTTAGTTTACAGATCTGAGATATCAAGGAAAAAGCGCCATATTGAGAAATATAATGCTTTTTGCTTAACTGCAGCTGACAACACTAACCAAATCATAGTTAGTAGAGGAGACTGGTTAGGAAACCCGGCAAAAATCAAAGTTGAAAACAATGGTGCTGTAGGTTATGTTGGAAGCTCCCTGACCATGCACAATCCTTTGTTTTCTGTTTACAAACTTATGACTGAAAAAATTAATGCAGTGTTTCTATTGGTCAATAACTTCAAAATGGTAAGAATGCTATTGAAGGTTGTGCACGGTCAGGTCCAAAAAAGCTAATAAAAACCTACAACAAAGGGTTTCCTAACCATTACACTTTAATTAACTACCGTAAAATTCAGAAAATAAGCCCTGGGGCTTATATTTTTCAAAGGCCCTTTTTGAGGGGCTTATCTACGGAGGGAAATTTGCGTTTGAAAATCGATTGAGCTAGCCTTATAGTTGGAAGGAATTTTACCGTTTTTGCTTTGTTTTACTTTGTATTTGAGGGAAATTTCCAAGTACAAGCCCCCGGGGGGCTTATATTTGGAGGGGCGATTTAACGGAGGGTTTTCTGCGTTACGAGTTTGGGGGGCTTATACATGGAGGGGCTTATTTTCGGAATTTTACGGTACGACCAAATCAAGACCATCCTCGTCTAAACCTCATTTCACTATTTTTGTTTTTTCTCACGTTTTACTTTACTTCATTTTCAGTAAAAACAGTTGCTAAACCAGAGAAAATCTCCACTTTTGAAGATGAGCCCACTGCATCCTCACCGTTAACGCAAGAAAAGTGGGAAGGCTGGGAGCCTTTGGATATGTCAGAGTACGAGGCAAGCGTAGAGTCAGTACATAGCGTAGTGAGAGATTTCCAGCACCAGATGTCCAGTTATCCTAGAAACTCCATCTTATATTCGCCCTCCGACGACTCAAGCTCTATACAAACTTCTTTTCTGGAGGAGGAGTTCCATGCTCCTAGACGCGAGTCCAGTTCCAGCGTTGAAGATTCTGGCAAGCCCAAAGAAAAACCATTCAAATGCAACTGCTGTGTGATGTCATTCACGCGCCCCAGCGATCTTCAACGTCATTTGCTGATCCATAACAACAACAAGCCATACAAATGCGAAGAGTGTGACCGTGAATTCACGTGGTTTGGAAACTTTCAGAAGCACGTGCTGTCGCACATGGGGGGCAATTCCAGAACGCCTGGGACTTTGCCCTTTTCAGCCATGTTCACGTTCCTGGCACGTGAACAAGTTAAGGAGCTTTTCATCAAAGATGGGGACAAGTATAAGTGTCGCTTGTGTGCAAAGGATTTTACTCGGCTCAGCGGCTTGAAAACGCACATTCGCATGCATACAGGAGAGAGGCCTTACGTCTGTGAAGTCTGCTCGTTTGCTTTTACTACGTCACGTGCTCTCAAGATGCACGTGCGCCTACATACTGGCGAGAAACCATACAAGTGCGGGGAATGTGGGCGCGCTTTCACCAGAAGAGATGAGATGCATACCCATATGTACATTCATAAAGGTAAGTTTACTCATGCGTTACTCTGTTCTCGATGGGACGCATATATAAATTTTCTTTTCTCTTTTTTACGTGGTACCAGGAACTTTTCTTTCTTTTCCTCTTGTTTTGTTGAAAACCGAAGAGAAGAGGCAAAGAAACGTAACAAAAGTTATTCTCAAGGTCTAATACCCTCTCGAAACAGCCGCATCAGAACTAGCAAAAGTTAAAAAGCAATGAAAATCAACAAGCGCTGTATGCATTGTTAAGTTGCTGGGAAGGTGAGGCGCTTATTTGATGGCCGCACTTTTCGAGTGAATATGTTATTTAATTATGCTATCGCATCCTCTTTTGAACACAGTTATTTCAATTAGATCACTTTATAAATAAGGTACAGGAAATCAGTTATAGGTGATAGAATTTTTAAGGTTTTGTAACTTTTTTTGTTATCTTATATTAACTTTCTAATTCATTACCAACAGGAGAGAAGCCATTTAAATGTGACATCTGTTCAGCATCTTTTATCCGCTATGGTCATCTACAACGTCACTTGCTGATTCACAGTGATGATAAACCTTACAAATGCAAGGTCTGTCCTAAGTCCTTTACCCAGTACCGCAACCTACAGACCCACATGTACAAGCATACAGGAGAAAGGCCCTATCGTTGCAGGTAGGTATAGTAACAGCTTAACCTGGGGGAAGAGGGGAACTCTCTTATAAGCCTAACCTGATATGTGCTAGGGAAGATAGTAGAGAGCTTAAGCAAAGACGGAGCGACGGCAACGCAAACGGCAAAAAAGCAATGGGTTTATTAAGCAAAACAACAACTTTGCACTTGCACCACACTTTCTTGTACATTTCTTTGTCGTTACTGCACGACCAAAGAGTGAAACTAGTAGTTTCACGTTTTATGAAGACTGACGTGAACACAAGACAACAATTGCCTTTTTTGTCTGAACTTAGATACAGTCATTTAGAGATAATTCCAGAAAAATTCCGGCCTCAATATTTGACAAATTGAATGAAATAGGATAAGATTTTTTTTTTGAAAGTGACGTTTTAGTTGTCGTTGCCATCGTGGTTACCTAAGCTCCCTTGTATGGTTTTCAGTACTCAAGTGGTAACTTAACACTCGAATGTGAAAACGAGGTTTACTTCTCGACCCCAGGGGGGTGGGAGACACTCCCCTATTCGGTCCATGAAAGAACCAGGTATGATTTTCGGGGTCTCGAGTCTTCTTCAGTTTCAAGAGCCGATTACTAATCGGTTCCTGGCAGGGTAATATACAATTTCACTTTTCGCGTCTTGAACAGGGTGTTCTAGTCGCCACCATGACCAGAAACTGGGCCGAGTTGACTTCTGGGACTGTTACTATGGCAACAGCTGACCAGTGCTTTCCCAGTCACGATCCCAGAAACAATAGACCTTGTCACGGTTTTCGACGCCATCTTGACGAGTAGGCAAACGCTTGAGAAATTACATTGATTGTATGAGAATCTAATGTCGAATAATTTCCGTAGTACGACTGTTCTGAAATGATATGATTTGTAAACTAAAGCTTCACTCCTAAGGATTCTCTTTTGAGGGCGTTACATGCACTAGAAGACCTAGAGCCACTTTTTAAAATTTTTTATACATTTGTCTGTAAGAAAGTCCCGGGAAAATTACAGACAAATATATGGAAAATCTAAAGCAAGCCTCCGGAGAAATTTAATCACAGGTACGCCCCCCTAAAATTTTTTAGGAAAATCCTTGGCTTTGTAGCTTTAGTTTACAATTGATTTTTTTTTCAGAACAGGCGTTTTACGGAAATTATTCGACATTAGATTCTCATACAAACACTGTAATTTCTCACACGTTTGCCTACTCGTCAAGATGGCGTCGAAAACCGTGACAAGGTCTATTACGGGACGCATTTAGGCTCCATTTTTTTTTCTTGTTTCTAAAGTGGAAGCCAGTTCACAAGAGCGTGATTGGAGGTTGCGATGAGCGGTCTACATGGCAAAATTATATAATTCGCTTTTTCGTCAACTAACTTTCTAGTGAAAACAGAGAAATCCTTAGTTATAAAGGGATTTAGCCTTTGTCTAACTTTTGTAATTCTTATCGATATCACGGTTTGAAATTTTGTAGTAAAGAACTAAAACATCCTTTCGAGATATTGGTAAATTTTATTTCAAAAACTATGCATTCTCAACATGCTCATAAAAGCATTTACTCGTGGGTAAAGCGTGCTGCATTCAAAAGAAGTCAAATAAAATCAATTAGATTCATTCATTCTTCTTTTTTCCTTCCCTCCTTTATTCCATTCTCTTTCCATTCACTTAGGTATTGTCCCAAAGGTTTCACCCAATATGGAACTCTTCAGGCGCACGAAAGGACACACACCGGAGAAAAGCCATTTCAGTGCCAGTTCTGTGACAAGGCTTTCATTACGTCATCGCATCTTAGATGGCACATCAAGACTCAACATAATACCAAGAAAGAATAGTTTAAAATACATTTATTTAGCATGAGATTAATTTAGTAAACATATGTAAATAATGTGCAATCATGGCGACGTAGATATTGCTTAGGGCGAAAATGGCTGTTGTGGTTAATTTCAGTAGAAGTAGTGCGTTTTTTCGTAGGGGGGTCAGATTTCTAAAAGGAAGGGAATTTCAACCTCTCTTATTTCGACAATGGGCGAGCTCGCGTTGAAGACTCTTATAGTACTATGGTCCCTTTGAATTGGGGCTTAAAGTTTTCAACTCGTCGATCATTTCACAACTGGGTCATACATTATAAGTACGTTAATTTCGTTTAATTTGTTAAAAGTAGGAGCTGTAAGCCTTTCCGAGACTCATCACAGTACGCGACTTCTAGATAAGAAAGGTTGACCAAATTAACACAAATACATGTAGATTAAGTATAAACATCTAAACACTCAATTTCAAAAACTGGTCCTGTTTCTTCTGGCCGAATTCATCAAAGGTCATCAAATATTAATTAGTTTCATTTTGAATGAAGTTATTGGAGCTCTGTTTGTAGAAAAGCAACTTTTCTAACTCAAATTCTCATTTAAAGGAGTTCATAACATTTCTCCTAAACGATCAATATATCTGCATGCGTTTTCAGTTCTTGATGGAAGTTTCTAAGTGTAGAGGAATGAGTTGTCTTGAATGCCCTGAAGCTTAATAAAGAACATTCTGCTATTCTAGCTTCGAGCTACCTTTTTGTCCGATTTTTCTAAGTGATAAAAAGACAGTTTTGAGAGTTGTTCTTTGGTTATTTTTTGATCAACCCACCTGAGCGTCCACTGGCGATGCTGAATCTGACAATGACGGCAAACGGCCAAAAACGGCAGTGCTCTCCATTTCTGGTCTAAAACAAAAGACATAAATAATAAACAGGTACGTGAAGGCTAATAGTTTTTCACGTAAATTCATCAGGGAGTTTTGTTATCGCTACTTTGAATAAAAGTAATTCTAATCAGCAAGGTAAAAATTATTTAAAAAGAAAGACAGCCACCGTTAATTTCTTCCAAGACATTTGTGAAACAGACCTGACAACCACGCATTTATCCATTTACATTTGTTTCTTCTCCAAGGCAAATCGTCCTATTCTTTATGTTGAATCCTCAGTCTGAAAAAGGCAAGATGAAAAAGTTTTTTTATTAATAACTGACGTGAAATACGCTGTTTTATTTACAAAATATATACAGAGCGGAACCTTGTTGTATGGAACCCATCTCGATGCATCTGCTCAAGCTGACTCTATAAGTGAATGAGGTTGTGATGTTTAGTAATCTGATCATGACTTGTACAAATGTTAACCTATTTAGTCCTGCAGGCTACATATTTTATTCACCATGAAAAAAAGCTCCTCAACAGGCGCATGATAAACAGGCTATTTCCAACTCCAAAGCTAATCCCTTTCAAAACGATGCAAAAAGCAAAACTACCGCTTTATAAAGGAGGTCGACATGCAGGCGAACCGTGTGCCCTTGCCCCATAATTAAGAAAATATAGAGAGATTTAGAATCGCTTTTACGACAAACTAGACGGCGCAATCGTGAATTTGCATCATGTGACCAAGTCTTCCTTTTACTTGTCTCTTTTCTGTTCACAATTTCTCTTTGAACATTCTTTATTTATTTCTTCTGTTCACAATTTCTCCCAATTTCTCTCAAATTGTGCCAAAATTGCGTTCACAACTGCGAGGATCATTCTTCATTTGATTTCATCGCTCCGCAGTTCTTATGTGATTGATTTCATATACATCCATCACGTTCATCTCTTTCACGGGAAAATATGAACACATAATAGACCAACTCCCAACATCAGTGGCTTCTTAGCTCAGTTGGTTAGAGCATCGCACCGGTATCAAACCCTTTAAAGTCCTGAATTTTTTTTCAGACTTCTTACGCAATTGCATAAATTATGTTCCACTGCGTGGAAATTCTTCATTTGATTTCATTTCCGCAGTTCTTTTATGATTTATTTCATATACATCTATCACAATAAGAATTGTTTTGGACTGTTTTTGGCGGCGTCGGTCCGCCAGCTCCTGTGTCTTCTCATTTCCTATTTTGAGAAATTCTCCACTTAAATCTAATGTTTGAAAATGAGTTCTATTTGCATGAGCGGGAATTACCAATTTGGATACTCATGGATATTGAATATCCATGAGTAAAAGTGGATTTCGGTTGCCTTTGTTAAAGTCCATTCTTTAATGAATACTTTGAATGTTTATCCCATATCAATGAATGGAGCTCTTCCAAAGCCAGGAATGGCAACCTAATTGTTACGGCCTCGATTCAAATAAAGCCGTCTTTCACGTCGACCTGGATTTCTTCAAAGTCCTGAAAAACAAAAGAGAAATATTCTGCGGTATTCACGGCGCCGTTCACGGGTCTACAGACTGACAATAAAGAATTAGCGGTGATCCTACTTCCAACTCCTTATAATTAGCTTGCTGTGTTTCGTTGTAAAACACGCAGTCAGAGGCTAGGAAACGAATGGGTATAGAAAGATAGTTGAGTGTTTTTTCCTACTTCTCGAATTGAATTCTTGGAATAAATTTCTATTTGTTAAACCCGTCGTTTTAAGTCGTGGGGACACCTTGCGCTCATTGTTTAGTAGGCGCCCGTTGGTCAGGATCGACTATGGGTAGTTCCGTCCAGGCCGTCATCTCGGCGAATAGACCTTATTCACGATACCCGCCATCTTTGCACGCGCTAAAGGACTGATGCGAAAAAACCAATGTCAAGTGGTTTCTCAGGGGGCAAACAAGTGATAAAAGCTGCCAAAACAAGAAATCGCCGTTGAGTTTGTTTATTTGTCTGCTTGAAAATTTGGTATGGATAAGAGCGCGTTTTTTGAAAGGTAGATTAACCTGAATGGTCTCTTGAAAAGTCTCCCTTTCATGAGTGGCTGTTGGAAAAGAGGAAAATAGATAAAACAAGGAACTCGGATGAGGATAAAGAACTCGAGTTTAGCACGATTCTGCTGCTTTGTCCACGGGTCCTAACTACGTTTAATCATCCCAGGGGGGGACTTGAGGAATTTTTGGGCGGGTTGTACCGTCGGGACCTTGGAACCCTCAGCCTATACCAGAGCTAGTTCAGCTGAATTTTTTACCCTATACGAAAGTAAACTCTCCCAAATCCCCCCAATTCCTGATTTCTCTAGTCTGGACTAAGATCTTCAACTAATTGATCAGTTTTCTAGAGAATAGACCCAAACTCTCTGATTTATATACCCTAGCTATCCCAGAGTAAACTGCTTAAAAAACATATACCCTTCACAGCGGCGCATACCTATATAGCCCATATTACAGTATTCCCCCCCGGGGCAACTCCTCTGTCTCAGTCATGCAAAGTATAACTATTTGGCTGTGATTCTATTTAGGGTAAGAATAACATCATATCGGTATTCCAACACGTTTATTGAAGTTTTATACTGACTCGAATATTTTCCACCTGGTACAGTGTAATTATACTAGTCATAATCAATACCATTTCCTCGTTGCCCGTCAGCAATGACTTTAAAAAGGGTGCTGACACTTTATTTACGTTTCTGACAAACAACATAGTGCTTTGTATCACAAATGTGATTATTCCATTTTCCTTTTCTGTCGTTGAAGTTGTCAACGTACATATAAGCACAGTGTTCGTCAGCGGGATAGTTTGGTTCGCCTGGAGCCCATGCGGAAAACGTGTCAGCCACAGAGGTGCCGTCAACCCAGTGAAAATCATTGTTCATCTCAGCATACATTCCAAGCCAAGTTTCACCCCGATCCTCTGTCAGCTTTAAAAAGAAAGTGTTTTCTTCGGTTGATCTGATGACAGGCAGGTCAGCTCCCAATTTTTTACACTCGTTTCGAGCATCAATGGCTTTCTGGAGATCTGGAATGGCTCGATAGCAATTGGATCCCTCTTCAACCCAGTCCGGTGGGCAGCCTGTAACAGAAAAGGACCTAATTAAAATTGTGGGTTACTACATTACACCTTGCCAAAATGGCTGCTAGTCTCACAGTCTGCTACACAGCCGTTTTTAGTGTCGTCACGCAACGCTCTTCCCCACAAACGGCTGCAGGAGCGTTGCGTGACGACACTAAAAACGGCTGTGCTGAGACTCGGCTATGTCTCACGGCAGTTCGTTGAACTTAATCACATTCGGAGCACACGCAGCACGAAGCCTCCCTTCATCTGCATACCGCTCCCGAAAACATTCTCCAAGTTATATCTTTGCAACAACACTGAACAATAACAACAACAAACACACTAAAAGGAAAACAATATTGAGCATCTTAGCAGTAATCTTTATAGTGACAGTTGGCCTGATAATTGGTTAATACCCAATATTTGACAGTAGATAATAGTGATATTGACCGTACCGGGGCAGCAGCATTTGTTGGTTTGCACTGCACAACTGTACTGACTGGAGCAATCATTAGTTCCAGGTGGACAGGGGTCATTTATGTAGTAGCAGGTACGACCGTTACCGTCACAAGGAGGCTCTGAAAAATGAATTCACATGTTAGAAAACTTGACCGTGGTTTTGGTTGTCTTACAGGGGCGAGAGCCAGCTTTTCGTCTATTTGTGGGCCTGGCTGACTTTCATTTCCAGTTCTCTGGGCTGGATACGCCCCTGTACTACAAGAAGCAGTTGTTGTTTGTTTGCTAAACTATGATGAAGAAATGTCCTAGATTACGCGTTAGGTTCCAAATGCTGCAAAATAAAACTGTTGGGCATTTATCCGTGGCTTACAGTTTACCTTTAAGGGTTTATGGCAAGTTATACGGCGGTCAAGAATTTTCATGGATTAGACTCTCCGTTGAACTAAAGTAAACAACGACAAGCCGGTTTGGGGATGGAAGTATCATCTTTTGCAAGTTTTCATTTAAGATATAACGACATTTATGTTATCAGAGGACCTCTAGTTATTTAACACGGGGTCAAAACAAGATCTAGACCTCAAGCTCACAATACAAACGTTTTTCGAGATGATTAAGTAAGCCCTTTGCTTCGTATTTTTTTTAACAACAGTTGTTTTCTCCGTAATTTTTACACTTACCGCTTCCCTGAGCCCGCGTGGCAGCAAAGATAATGCCAACGAGTAAAATGGCGTTTAACGCAGACATCGTCCAGGAAAAACTAAAACTGAAAAGAAATATAATTGGATACTGAAGTTAGACAACTAAACTTAAAAAGCGTTTGTTTACTTTGCTCCTGCTGCAGTGAGCAGCTCACTTAAAGACAGGAATTGCCAGGTAGGAACAATTTAAAGTTACAGGAACTATTTCAGAGCTACGTTTTGCTTTGAAATTCCTTCAGTTCATGCCTGGATGTTTTTTCAAAAACATTTCAAACAGACTCAGAAGTCTAAGAAGACCAAGACCAAGACCAAGACAAGATATTGTCAAATAAAACTCAAAAGAATTATACTCACTAATTAGGAAAGCTCCGCTCCAGAATTTGCCAAATGTGATCTATGAATATGATGTTGGAAGTTTGGCTAGCTGGGTATTTAAAGGACGCCATCGGAGATAAAACAATTAAAATATTTTTTTTCATGCAAAGGTATTTGCCATTTCCATGAATAATCTTCGGCAGTACTGGCCGCCTATTGTAATTGTATATGTGAAAAAGAGTAATAGCTACAGTGCATTGTTTTCTAAACGCAAGGATTACATAACCGGATTAAATTATGCCAGGTAATATACAAAGTTATTTCCCGGCTGAATTGTATGTGCAAAGTTGGACGCCTTTTCTAAGTCGAAAAAGCGTGAAAGAAAGCAAGTTTCCCTTTCACGCGAGGATTACATAACCCGATTCAGGTCTTTGCTAGATTTTAAAAAAGCAACGTGATTTGAATGGGGATGACAAAAACAACCTTTCAGGCCTAAGCCAAACGCAGAACTTTTCATAGAGCGGTTTTCACTTGACTGTCGTGAAACCAAAACCAAAGTAAATACACTAGCCAACCAAAGGGCGTAGTAAAACCAAACCCAAAACCAAAACCAATCCCTTTCGACAGTCAAGTGAAAACCGCTCTAAGACGAACCAAACATAGTAAGTTAAGTTCATGAAAAGTTCGACGTCTAGCCCACTTAAGTTTCGTCTGACGTGTCTGAATGGGCCTGGATAACACGTTGATGAGGCATATTAGCCTTGTTCGGGAAAAAAATTATGACATATACAGTTAATATAAAATTGCTTTTAGGTCAGATTCAGTTTATGAGTTTGTTCGACGTGTCCTAAGTTCGACGTCTGACCCAACAGACGATCTTAACTTAGGCCTGTTTCAAACGTCGTGCTACTGCCGTGCCGTACTCAATTGATCGAATTAACTTCGCCTTTAGCACGGCAGTAGCGCGACGTTTGAAACCAAGTCGTGCTACTGCCATGTTGAACGGCGCAAGCCTTGCCGTGCTACACGGCAGCAGCTCGACTTGGTTTCAAACGTCGTGCTACCGCCGTGCCGAACTCAATTCAAAAATTACAAATGCATTAGAATGCATTTAAAAGTTTGCTGAACCGTTTCTTTATTATTGAATTTTGCTTTCGGCAACAGCCGTTCTATTATATTGAATTAAATTCGACGTCTGAAATCAAGTCGTGCTAGGGTCGTGCTGCAGTCGAGCTACCGTCGAGCCAGCTTAGCACGGCAGTAGCACGACGTTTGAAACAGGCCTTAGTCTAAAGGCTTCTATTTGTTTGCCCTTCACCATTTCGGATTTTATGCCACTAATCACTGACCATGGTCTTGCTTCTTGATATGATTTATTGAGTCTACATGACTGACATAAAAACTGAGCCGTTTTATCAAACGGGATGTAGGGGCAAGTATGAATGTGTGGATTTTCTCAGGGCAGTGTCGAACAAACGCTGTTTTTTCGCGGGTATTATTGTGCAATGGGGAGCTTAAGCAACGACGACGCCTACGGCGTCGAAAACGTCGGCTTATTCCATCTTGTTCAATTTCGGTCGAATGTTGGCAATTTTCTTCTGGAGTTGAATTCTAAAAGCTATATCGAAGTTCGGAAAAGAAAAAGAAAGTCGCTGTTTTGTGTTCACGTCCTCCAGAAAAAGTTAAATTAGGTTTTTTCACGTCGTAGTCGTGCAGTAGCGGCAAAGAAATGTACAAAAAAGCGTGATGTACGTGCAAAGTCTGTTTCAGTGCCAAGCTAAACCTATTGTTTTTTTCGTTAACGTCGCCGTACTCGTTGCTTAAGTTAAGCTGCCTAATAAGGCCCAATCCACGTATCCGTTTTTTTTTTTTTTTTAATACTGCCCGAGCATTCCCGTCACTTTTATATGGAAGTGCCCCCCGGTAGCCTGTGTACAGACACTCCCCCCCCTTATCTTTTTGAGGGGAGGTGGCGTCTGTATACAGTACAGACTACTCCGGGGCGGGGGTAGTGGTGCAATTGGTAAGACTGGTAAATTTCGTCCCGGAATCGCGTGTAGTTAATGTACAAAAACATCAAAACACTTCCTGAAACTGGTATCAACGATAGCTTTGAAGAAATGGAACCCGAATTTTCGTTTGGAATATTTTGTCCGGAAAAAGAGGACGTAAAATCTAGATAAATCGATAAACGAAACAAGTGTGTCATCGATTTCTACCGATTGATCGATACAATCGATATCAATCAAATCTGATTTACCGATTTTTATCGTTTTTTCGATTGATAAATAGATACCGATTTTTAGCGATTGACTACTCCTAGGCTACGTGTAGCCGCACCCTCCCCCCGACAAAGGAAAAACGGAGACCCGTAGGCTAGGTTTCGTTTACGCATTAGGCCATGAAGCTGTTAAACTACTACACATAAGCCAAACACTTACACAGCTGGACAACATTGCGCATTAGC